GTAAGAGCGGTTGTGCGGATAGCACAGGGCCAGACAGTGTTCGTCCTCTTGTGCGCAATAGGGTCCAGCTATGAGTGGAGCCATCTCGACAAAACTGACAACAGCAGCCGTCAAGCCATGTGATCTGTGAGATGGTAAACATTGGCAGGAGCAGATAGACTCTGCTTTCTCCTGAGGAGTGTGACGGCTGTAATCTTTCTTGTCGACTCACTCTCTGTGTAGATAGTGGCCGTGACCCCTGACAGGAGAGTCTGTGGTCCCTCCCATTTTCTTGTAGAATGTGGTCATGGGCCCTGAGGGCGATGTCTGGGGGTGATGGGGCTGTTCCCAGCCTGGGCGCTGGACTTGCTTGTGTAGATGCAAATACAGAGTGACAGCGACTGCTCTCCACTCTGCTCCTGGTCATAGCTTTCCGTCTCTGCCTGGGGACAGGTGACAGAGGACAAAGCTGGGACCAAGATTCATGGTGACCGAGGTGTTGCCACCAGAACCGTGAAGGACCTTCAGCCCCATGGAGATACCTCTCACCCGGCTGACCTTTCCCCAAGGCCTGCTGATTGTGGTGGCCGGGGCTGAGTTCCTGGTCGGCTTGCTTGGGAATGGCGTCCTTGTGGTGTGGAGTCTGAAAGAATGGGCCAGGAGAGCCAACCTGACCCCCTACAGCGGGATCATCCTGGGCCTGGCCGCCTCCCGCTTTCTCCTGCAGTGGCTGATCATGGCGGACCTTGCCTTGTTTCCGTCCTTCCAGGGTAGCTGGCAGCTCTACATCCTCAGTCTCGTCTGGGTCCCGGTGAGCCAGGCCAGCGTGTGGTTTACCACCTTCCTCAGTGTTTTCTACTGCCTGAAGATCGCCACCTTTGAGTACCCTGCCTATGTGTGGCTGAAGCGGCAGGCCTACCACCTGAGCCTCTGGTGCCTCCTTGGTTACTGCATCCTCACTCTGATCTTGGTGGACCACATCATCCGACAAGCCTACGTGCTCTTCAAGAGCAACAGTAGCATCCCGCATTCCCCTATAGGGCAGCATTACGGCTACCTAACCCTGCTCAACTCCGGGAGCTGGCTCCCCTTCCTGCTGTTTCTGCTGTACTCTGGGATGCTGATGGCGTCCCTGTACAGGCACCACCGGAAGATGCAGGTCTTCAAGGCGGGCAGGAGAGATGCCCAGGCCCAGGCTCATATCATGGCCTTGAAGTCCCTGGGCTGCTTCCTGGTTCTCCACATAGTATATATCCTGGCCAGCCCCTTCTCCATCACTTCCAAGCACCCATCTCCAAGTCTCACCTCTGTCCTCTTCTTCGAGACCCTCATGGCCGCCTCCCCCTCTCTTCACTCTGCCCTCCTTGTCCTGGGCAACCCAAGGGCCAAGGAGCTTTGGCGCAGAATCCTGCAGAAGGTGGTGGGCACGTGCAGAGATGGGGGCCCCTGTCTTGAGGAGATGGGGGCAGAGGGCTGTGTAAGACACCGATGAGGTGCTCTTGATAGCACTCTGAAAGGGAGCCGGCTCTTTCATCCTGTCAAACATTCCTGCCCTGACAGCAGCTCCCGCACACGGGCATCAGGCCACTTGGAAGCCAAATCAGCAGTGTGTTACCTTAGGGTGTCAAGGCTCCCCACTGTTTGGTAAAAGAGGCATCTATCTGCTCTTTTTATGTGCAGCTGAGAAGACACCTTGC